GGGGGTGGGGGCAAAGAGAAGCCAGGAGCTCAGTGAGGAAGAGGCTGCAGTAGTCCAGGCGAGAGAGATGAAGGTGGGAGACCAGGCTGGAGACGGTGGCAGTGGTGACTAGGTCTCTGCTATCCCCCTGGCTGGAAGATTGTGCCTGAATGCGGTCAGGGGAGGAAGGGTCGTGACAATCATCCCATCACATCGGTCACATTTAGCCAGGCTTTTACTTCAGTGCCAGCCACAGTTCTAAGTGCTTTCCATAGGTGAAGTCAGTTACCCCACACACACCAGGGTAGGTACTGTTATCTATCCCATTTTATAGAGGGAGAAACCAAGGCACAGAGAGATTAAGTGACTTGCCCAAGGTCACACAGCTAGGAACTAGAAGCGCTGGAAGTCGGCCTGTGGAGCCCACAGACAGGCTGGCGCGGGAGGAGGAGGGCGGAGGGCAGGCGGAAGCAGGTAAGGCTGGGCCATTCCCGGATGCGACCCTGGGGACTGGACCATGGGGCCTCGGGATGGTGACAGAGAGGCGGGCTGTGTTAGCGGCTGCGAAAGGGGCGGGACCGTGGCAGGACGTGGCCTGAGAGCCAACCAGCGTGAGCAGAGAAAAGAGGGGATGTGAGGCGGGACCCAGACGGGTTTGAGTGGCCCGGGAAGATGGGAGCAGGCAGGAGCCTACAGAGAACTTTGGAGAGGAGCCCAAATGCTCCAAGGCCTGGCCTGATACAGCCGGAAGCAGAGGAGTGGGCGGGGACGAGGCCGGAGGGAAGAGGCCTCTAGGAGCCAGGGGAGGAGGTGGGCACCGGAAGCGGTAGGGAGCGTGTGCTGCTGGCCTGCCAGTCCCGGGGCAGAGCCAGGTGTGGGACACGTGCCTCGCGCACTGGGTCCAGAGAAGGGTGGCTGAAGCACGTGCTGGGTCGAGGGGCGTGGCCAGAGTGGGGGGCGTGGCCCTGGGCTTACGTAGGTCTTCCCCCACATCCCTGCGTTTAGTATAGTCGGCCACAGGCCTGCGGGGCGTGGCTCGCTGTGGGGGCGGAGCCTAAGTGGAGCCGGGGCGCGGTCCAGAGATTGACACGTGCCCCTCCCCTGTCTACCCTCCAAGCGTGGATGACTTTTCAGCCCTACAAGGGGGTGTGTTGGGGTGAGGGCGTGGCTGAGTACGAGGAGGCGGAGCCTGGATGAGGGTGGGTGGGGCCTGGGACTGACGTGTGCCCCGCCCCGGCTCGCAGGAAGATCGTGGATCGTATGGACCGGGATGGGGACCGGGACGGCTGGGTGTCTCTGGCTGAGCTCCGCGCGTGGATCGCGCACACGCAGCAGCGGCACATACGGGACTCAGTGAGCGCGGCGTGGGGCACTTACGACACGGATCATGACGGGCGTGTGGGCTGGGAGGAGCTGCGCAACGCCACCTACGGCCACTACGCCCCCGGTAGGTGGCAAGACCTCAACTCCTACTCCTTTACACGCACATGCCATTGACCTTGACCTTCTTGATCTCCTCATCCTGAGGACACTTGAGTCCATGATCTGTAACCCTTAACCAGGGACTAGTCACTTCTGGGACCCCATCTCCCTGAAACCTGGGATCCATGACCAGTGACCCTGTGACCAGGGGACTTCAGATCTTTGACCAGGGACACCTGACTTCCATGCCCTGCCATCCTGACCTTTGACCTCTCTTCTTCAGAACCCTACAAAGCCATTTACCCTGTCCCCAACTCTTTCCGGTCCCTCCTCTCTGTCCCACAGCCGCTGTCCTGACTGGTCCACTCCCTCGTAGGCCCTTGCCTCAGCCTCTGACCTGGCTTCTTGCCTCTAGACTCCCCCTCCAGTCTGGGTCTTTCTACGGCTGACCCTGGCCCTGCCCTGTTCACAGTCCTCCAGGGCTCCCAGCATTCCCAGGAGAGATGCCTTTCTCACACTTTCTACCCCAGCCAAGGGCTTCCCTGAATTCACCAAGCTTTCTGATCGTCTGTTTTGCACATGCTGTTCCCTCTGGGTGAAATGCTCTTCCCCATGGCCAGACAGCCAGAGTCAGCATAACCTACTTCATTAGAATGACCTTGAACCCCAAAGGGCCAGAGTTAACTTAACGTCCACTGTTACTGACCTTTTTGAGAATAAACAAGAGAACCCACTGTTTTTTAACCTGCTTTCTGTGAGGATTCAGTGAGATAGCATAGACAAAGTGCTTAGCATATAATAAGCTCTCAACACCACTGAGCCAACAGACATAGGAGACCCTGGGTGCTGCAAATGGTTAACACACTCTGGTGCTAACGGAAAGGTTGGGGATTCTAGTCCACACAGAGGCACTTTGGAAGAATGGCCTGGTGATCTAAACCAACAACAACAAAAAAACTCACTGCCATTGAGTTGATTCTGACTCACAGCGACCCTATAGGACAGACTAGAACTGCATAGTACTGTGGCCTAGGCTGTCAATCCTTATGGGAGCAAAGCCCAAACCACACCCACTGCCAAGGAGTCCATTCCAACTCACAGCGCCCCTAGAGGACAGAGTGGAACTGCACCACAGGGTTTCCAAGGCTGTCAATCTTCATGGGAGCAAAGCCCAAACCACACCCACCACGGTGGAGTGGATTCCACTCACAGCGCCCCTAGAGGACAGAGTGGAACTGCCCCACAGGGTTTCCAAAGGAGCTCTGGTGGTGTGGTGCTTAAGGCATTTGACTGCCAACCAGAATATTGGTGGTTCAAACCCACCAGCTGCTCTGCAAAAGGAAGGTGGGGAAATCTACTTATGTAAAGATTTACTGCCTTGGAAACCCAAAGGGGGTCGCTATGAATTGGAACTGACTCAATGACAGTGAGTTTGGTTTTTGGTTTAGAATAGGGCTTCCAAGACTGTAAACCTTTATGGAGGCAAAGCCCAAACCAAACCCACTTACATTAGATTCGATTCCAACTCACAGCACCTCTAGAGGACAGAGTGGAACTGCCCCATTTGGTTTTGGGGCTGCCATCTTTATTAAAGAGGACTGATGCATCTTTCTCCCAATGAGCGGAGGATGTGTTTGAACTGCTGTCTTTACTCAGCAGGCAAGCACTTAACCACTGTGCCACCAGTGATCCTCATAACATACATTAAAAAAAAAAAAAAAAAAAAACATTGCTGTTGATTCGATTCAACTCACAGCGACCCCTCCTTGGTTTTCCAAGGTGGTGTCTCTATGGAAGACCCAATCTTCCTTCTGAGGAGTCGCTGGTAGGTTTGAACCACCAGCCTTGGGGTTAGCAGTCAAATGCCTTAGGGATTAAGCCACCAGAGCTCCTCGTAACACACATATATGTGTATTATTCAAAAAATCAAAACCAAATTCACTGCCTCACTGCCATTGAGTGGATTCTGACTCACAGCGGCCCCCCTTGGATTTCTAAGGCTGTAAATCTTTACAGAAGCAGACTCTTGTCTTTCTTCTGGAGCAGCTGGTGGGTTCGAACCACTGACCCAAATGTCTTAACCACTGAGCCACCACCACTCCTTATTATTCATATGTATGTTAATAATGGAAGTCTCCCTCTCAGTCTGTTCTCCACCTGCCCTCTGCTGCTCCGTTAAAGCACATCTCACCCAGGCCCCCCCCTTCTCCAGGGGAAGAATTCCACGACGTGGAAGATGCCGAGACGTACAGGAAGATGCTGGCCCGCGACGAACGGCGTTTCCGGACGGCCGATCAGGACGGGGACTCGATGGCCACTCGGGAGGAGCTGACGGCCTTCCTGCACCCCGAGGAGTTCCCCCACATGCGGGACATCGTCATCGCTGTGAGTGAGGGCCGAAGAAGCCTCCCCAGGCCTCTGCTTACCTTGGGGGATCCAGTCACCTGCCTTCTGGAACCTTCCCTGGGGAATGGTGGCTCCCAAACGCAGGTCAGACGGAGAGTGACATCTCTCACTCCCACTTCCTTACCTTCGGGGTCTAATCTCTCTTCATCCAGCCTCCTGTCTCCCTCCCTGTGCTCCCAGCCTGCTCTTACAAGACTCCGCCCCACAAAAGTGCCTTAAAAAAAAAGCAAAAACAAAACGCTTTGCCACTGAGTTGATTCCAACTCACAGCAACCCTGTAGGACAAAGCAAAATTGCCCCATAGTGTTTCCAAGGCAAGTTTCCAAGGAAGCAGACTGCCAACATCTTCCTTCCACAAAGAAGCTGGTGGCTTAGAGCTGCCGAGCACGTGGTTGGCAGGTGATCGCTTAACCAGTGCACCCCCAGGGCCCCTTCAGAAGTGCGTCAGGGAACGCCCATCCTGCTATGGAGTGGGACATACACTGAAGAATTACCTGTCGTTCATCTGAAACTCACAAGTTCCGTGTTTTATTCATCAGCCCTAAAAAGCTGGGTTTTGACTTTGCTAGAAGACTCAGTGGCATATCCGACACCCACACATTCGTAAGAGTGAGTGCATTTAAATGTGAAAATAGGGAGACGAGGCGTTCTGCTCAAAACATGCAGAAAAAGCCAAGAGCTGGCATGTTGAATGTGTCCTGGAATGGTCTACGCTGTGTTTATACATAAACGGAGCCCTGGTTAAACACTCCGCTGCTAACCAAAAGGTTGATGGATCCAAGCCATGAGCCGCTCTGCAGGAGAAAGACGTGGCATTCTGCTTCCATAAAGATTTACAACGTTGGAAACCCTATGGGGGAGTTCCGCTCTGTCCTCTAGGGGCGCTGTGAGTTGGAATCGACTCCATCAAAGTGGCTTTAGTTTGGGCTTTGCTTCTGTGAAGATTGACAGCCTTGGAGACCCTGTGGTGCAGTTCCACTCTGTCCTCTAGGGGCGCTGTGGGTCACAATGGACTCCACGCAGTGGGTGTGGTTTGGGCTTTGCTTCCACAAAGATTGACAGCCTTGGAAACCAATGGTGCAGTTCCACTCTGTCCTCTAGGGGCGCTGTGAGCCAGAATCGGCTGGATGGCAGTGGGTGTGGCTAGTTGCCATGGAGTTGGTTCCGCCTCATGAGGGCCCCATGGAGAACAGCATGAACACTTCCCCCCAGTGCCATCTCCCGGATGGTTTATAGCTGAATCGGTTCTGCAGCCGCTGTGTCAGTCCACCTTACCCGTTGCTCACCTTTGCTGACCTTCCATTTTACCAACCGTGAAGTTCTTGTCCAGCAATTGGCCCCTCCTGATGACACATCCAAAGTAAGCGGGTCAAAGTCTCAGGCGATAGGCTGTAATCCCTCGGGTTCTGATTGGCTAATGTATGGGAGGAGATTGCCAGGCCTTTCTTCCTGGTCTCTGTTAGTCTGGAAGCCCTGCTGAAAGCAGCAGGGTGACTCTGCTGGCATTTGAAGTACTGGTGGCCATACCTTACAGTATCATAGCAACACACAAGCCACCATAGTACTGCAAACTGACAGCGGAGTTAGGGACCAGGCTTTGCCAACATAGGGGGCTTGCTCTCCATAGAGAATGTTGGCTGGACCGTGAGAAAGCTGGGGTGCAGGACAGCCCTCTGTGTGTGGGACCAACCTGGCCATCGCAGGACATCAGGTGCCCTGAGCCCTGCCCACTAAATGCAAGTAGTACCTTTAGTCACCATGACACCCGAGAATTCCCCTAAATTTCCCAAACACCCCTTAGGGGACTGCCAAGAGGTAGCTGTTCAAACAGAACAAGGGGATACTGCATGGTTTCAAATCAGGAAAGTTGTGCGTCAGGGTTGTATCCTCTCCCCATACTTATTCAATCTGTATGCTGAGCGAATAATCCGAGAAGCTGGATGAAATAAGAACGTGGCATCAGGATTGGAGGAAGACTCACTAACAACCTGCGATTTGCAGCCTTGCTTGCTGAAAGTGAAGGTGACTTGAAGCATTTATTGATGAAGATCAAAGACCACAGCCTTCAGTGTGGAGTACACCTCAACATAAAGGAAACAAAAATCCTCACAACTGGACCACTAAGTAACATCACAATAAATGGAGAAAAGATTGAAATTGACGAGGATTTCATTTTACTTAGATCCACAATCAACACCAGTGGAAGCAACAGTCAACAAATCAGACAACGTATTGCACTGAGCAAATCTGCCACAAGAGACCATTTAAAGTGTTAAAGAGCAAAGGTGTCTCCTTGAAGACTAAAGTGCACCTAACCCAAGCCATGGTATTTTCAGTCGCCTCATACACATGCAAAAGATGGACAGTGGATAAGGAAGACTGAAGAAGGGTTGATGCTTTTGAGGGTGGTGTTGGCGAAGAATGCTGAGAGTAGCACGGACCGCCAGATGAACTAACAGGTCTGTCCTGGAGGAAGTGCGGCCGGAATGGCCCATGGATGCGAGAACGGCCAGACTTCGTCTCACCTCCTTTGGTCATGTTGCTGGAAAGAACCAGTCCCTGGAGAAGGATGTCGTGCTTGGTAAAGTAGAGGGTCAGTGAAGAAGGGGAGGGCCCTCAGAAAGACGGAGTGACACGGTGGCCGTAGCAACGGGCTCACGTACAGCAAGGACCTGAGCACGGCACAGACCGGGCAGTGTTTCGTTCTGTTGTCCACGGGGTCACTATGAGTTGAAGCCGACTCACTAGAACCTAACAGCCACCACCGCAGACCCCGGGGGCACATTCTGCCCTGTTGAGTCTGCACCGGTGCCTGCCCCCGCAGGGCTGCCCCCAAACTCGAGTCCTTGAGAGAACCTCACAGTTGCCCTTGGGGTCCAGGGGCACCAACCTCCAGCCCCAATGCCTCTTTCTCCCCAGGAAACAATGGAGGACCTGGATAAGAACAAAGATGGCTACGTCCAGGTGGATGAGTACATTGGTGAGTGGCCCTGGGTTCTCCCTCCAGGACGCCCATCTTCCCCACGCAGGGTGGGAGCCTTAACACCCCGTCTTAGCTACCCGGGGCTGCTGTAACACAAATGCCGCAAGAACAGAAGTGTCCAGGGTGGAGATCCGAACCAGGGTCTCAGCCGGGTTTTCCTTCTGCGGTTCTGTGGGCCTCTCTCCTCGGGCTGGTGTCTGCTGGAAATCCTTGGCGTTCCTTTGCTTGCACGCAGTCCTCCCGGGGCATCTGTCTCTCCCTCTCTGTGTGCGCATCTTTGTCTGTTTGGGTCTTTTTGTAACCGAGAAGCGGTGAACTTCAAGAGCCACCCCATGCTGGTGTGACCTCAAGGATCCATTGATCACAGTACACGAGGTTGTTTTATAAACCATTGAAAACCAGACCCACTGCTACTGAGTCGATTCCAACTCACGGGGAATCCCATTGGGTTTCCAAGGTGGTAAATCTTTATGGCAATAGATTGCCTCATCTTCCTCCCGAGGAGCGGCTGGTGGATTTGAACTGCTGACCTTCTGATTAGCAGTCAGATGCCTTAGGCACTGCAGCACCAGAGCTCCTTCAATTGTATTATAGAAGGTGATTATATTACATTATGGAAGGTGTTTACATTGTATTACATTGTAGACAGGAGCGCTGGTAGCATAGTGCCTAAGGCACTTGACTGCTAACCAGAAGGCTAGCGGTTCAAACCCACCAGCCACTCCTCGGAAGGAAGGTCGGGCAATCTACTTCCGTAGTGATACCGCCTTGGAAACCCAAGGAGGGGTCACTATGCGTCGGGGCCGACTCGACGGCAAATAAGAACAACAACAACAATGACAAATCTTTATGGAAGTAGATTGCCCAGTCTTCCTTCCGAGGAGTGGCTGGTGGGTTTGAGCCGCCTGCCTTCTGGTTAGCAGTCAAGTGCCTTGGGCACTACGCCACCAGTTGCCCTCTAAAGTGGAGGGTGGAGGGGTGCTACTTGAGCTCGTGCAGTTCCCAGTGACTGAGCACCTGCTGTGTGCCAGGCAATGCCCTAGGCCCTGAGGAAAGAGGTTCAAGCCACACAAAGGTCCCTGCCTTCATAGAGGAGCCAGACCAGGGAGGTCAATCAGCCACATCTGTAGTAAGTGTACTATAGGGCACTGTGGAGGAAAGCCCAGCGGGGCCTCAGAAGGGATGTGGAGGGGTCTCCTTGACCAAATGCCATGGGAGCAGAGACTGGGATGAAGTAGGGGAGCTGCCGGCCTGGGAGGGAGCCGTCCAGGGTGAGGACTGCCAGCCAGTGCCAAAGTGGTGAGGCAGGACGGTGCCCGGTGGGTCTGAGGAGCGTGAGGGGCGGTGTGGCTGGAGCCCAGGGAGCGAGGGCGGAGTGGCAGAGAAGGAGCAGGGGCCTTGAGGGCCTCGGGGAAGACACTAGTCCAGTTCTCAGCCCGACCCCCCAGACAGTTGACAATATTTATCTTTTTGTGCCTGGCTTCTTTCACTCAGCATAATGTGTGTGTGTTTTTTTTAATTGTGATTTGGGTGAAAGTTTACAGAGCAAATTCACTTTCCATGCAGCAGTTCACATACACTTTGTCTCATGACATTGACTACAGTTTACCCCAATGCAACAGCTCCCCTCCCACTTCCTCCCGACAGTCACCTCCTCCCTGTGTCCATCCCTCCATGCACTCCTGCCCCCTGAGCTGTCTCCCTGTGCATAAGCAGCCCTTCTTTCTCCCCTGATTGTTCTCTCCAAGGAGTGTATCTACCTCAGGTACATGTTCAACTCATATGCCTGTCTTTTGTTTGCCTGGAAGCCACAGATGTGTGTTCAAGTCCAGAACTGAAGGGCAGCTAGGGGCCATAGTCTCAGTGGTTCCACTAGGCTCTATTGGACCAGCAAACATGGTCCCCCCCTTTTTTTTTTTCCAAATGATTTTGAGTTTTGTTCCACATTGCTCTCCGTCTCTATCCAGGATCTCCTCCATAGATCCCCCTCCGAGTGGTTGACAGTGGTAGCCGGGCACCATCTAGTTCTTCTGGTGTCATAGTTGTATAGGCTGCGGGTCGCATGGTGTCCCAGTCTCACTCAGCATCATGTTTTCAAGGTTCTTCATGTCATGACCTGTATCAGGACTTCATTTCTCTTTATGGCTGAGTCGTTCTCCGCTGTGTGGAGGAATTCTGTCCATCTGTTCATCTTTTGACGGACATGGGGGCTGTTTCCAGCTTGTGACTAGTGACCAGTGCTGCAGTGAACACTGGTAGACAACAACATTGGTGGACACATGACTGAGTCCCAGCTTTCAAGCCTTTTGGGTACATACTGTGGAGTGGAATTGTTTGAAGGAGCTCTGGTGGGACAGTGGTTAAGTCATTGGGCTGCTAACCAAAAGGCCAGTGGTTCAAACTCACCAGCCACACTGCAGGAGAAAGGTAAGGCCCTCTGCTCCTGTAAAGATTCCAGCCTTGGAAACCCTATAGAGCAGTTCCACTCTGTCCTCTAGGGGCGCTGTGAGTCAGAATGGACTCCACGGCAGTGGGTGTGGTTTGGGCTTTGCTTCTGTGAAGATTGACAGCCTTGGAGACCCTGTGGGGCAGTTCCACTCTGTCCTCTAGGGGCGCTGTGGGTCGGAATGGCCTTCCTGGCCACCACCACCAGTACCAAGATGGCAGTTTTCTTTTTAGCTTTTCAAAAAACTGCCAAACTGTAGTCCTCAATGCCTGTCTCCTTTTACAATCCCACCAGCACCAGCAATTGATCCAAACATCTTAAGGTGGTTCTGGGGGTGACATGAGGCTGTTCTAATTACAGCTTTATTCTGATATCCCGCCAGAAAAGTCTTCACTCAGATGTCTTCATGTTAAGGGCCTACGATGTGATCCCATAGACCCAGCCACTCTCTCACGGTCATCAAATGGCTGGCCTCTGAGTGGTTTGTTATTAATCCCGATTAAACGGAAGCGGAAACTGGCGAGAGTCTCCACGGAATGACTGTCCCGCGCCTCGTGGCCTGGACACACGGGAACCAGGTCTGCACCCCGGGGCAGGCGTCTGGGCGCCTCCCCTGACCTTGCCCCTCTCCCGCCCCCAGCGGACCTGTACTCGGAGGAGCCCGGGGCGGAAGAGCCCGCCTGGGTGCAGACGGAGCGGGAGCAGTTCCGCGACTTCCGGGACCTGAACAAGGATGGGCGGCTGGACAGCAGCGAGGTGGGCCACTGGGTGCTGCCGCCCGCCCAGGACCAGCCGCTCGTGGAGGCCAACCACCTGCTGCACGAGAGCGACACGGACAAGGTGTGGGGACGGGCCCTCAGGCTGGGGGTGCTGGTGCGGAATAAGGAAGGTCTGGGCCTGTCTGGGGATGTGGGAGGCACCCAGAGAGAGGGGGACAGAGATGGGGGGACCAGAGAGAGAGAGGGATTGAGATGCAGAGAGAGAGGAGAACAGAGACCGAGGTGGGGGGACAGAGAGAGGGACAGAGACCTGGGGGGACCCAGAGAGAGGGGGACAGAGATGGGGGGACCAGAGAGAGAGAGGGATTGAGATGCAGAGAGAGAGGAGAACAGAGACCGAGGTGGGGGGACAGAGAGAGGGACAGAGACCTGGGGGGACCCAGAGAGAGGGGGACAGAGACCTGGTGGGCGACCCAGAGAGAGAGAGGACGTAGACCCAGCGAGAGGGAGACAGGGACCCAGAGACTGGGGTCATAGACCCAGAGAGAGGGGAACAGAGATCCAGAGAGAGGCCATTCTGAGACTTGGTGGGACCAACTTAGATTCAGGGAGGTGTCTCCCCATCCGAGCTCCTGGTCACGCGCTCATCCCTGACTCTCACGCAGGACGGCCGTCTGAGCAAGGCCGAGATCCTGGGAAACTGGAACATGTTTGTGGGCAGCCAGGCCACCAACTACGGCGAAGACCTCACACGTCACCACGACGAGCTCTGAGCGCCACGTGCGCACTACAGCCATGGCCCCGCCCCGCTGCCGTGGACACGCCTTTCCGTGTAGCCACGCCCCCATCTGTGGTCACGCCCCCATCTGTGGTCACGCCCCCGGCTCCCGCCCCCACCCTCGTCCTGGCTCTGTCCCCTTTCCAGGGCCTGTAGGACGCGGGCGCAGCCCAGGGGGCCCTCTCCTCCGGGTCCTCTCTTTTAAGACATGTTTCGCCCCCTCCACCCCCAGGAGCTCCCACAGACCCTGGGACAGTCCCCATCCCTTTCTTACGGGCAGATCCAGGGACCCTCACCCCAAAGGCTCAGCCTCCAGGAACCGCCACTCCCCCTCCCCCACCAGCTCCAGTTCTGAGCCTCCACCAAGACCCGGAAACAGACCCCGGCCCGGCCCCACCCCAGGGCGCCTCCGCTCCGCCCACCAAAACCCAACCGCACTGCCAGGGAGGCAATAAAATCCGGTGCCGGGCTGTCTCTGTGTGTCTCCGAGCAGGGCCGGAACCCTTGGGAGAGACTGGGGTCGGGAAGAGGAGTGTGCGCAGAGTTGGGGGGATGTGGGCCGAGGGAGGGGTCAGGGCCTTTGAAGAAGGAGGCTGGGTGTCGGCTGGGTTCTAGGGTGCTCCGCGGGACAATTAGTGCAGCTGTGAGGAAGCCAGGCGGAAGGATCCATCCTGAGCCCAGGGAAGCAGACACACATCCAGGTCACAGAGTGAAAAATACGGGGCGATGCCACAGGATGGTGAGGTTCTGATAACAGTGGTGGGAGTGGGCTCGCTGGTAAACCTGGCCCGGGAGTGAGCCATGGGGAGGACTGGGGGAGACAGGTCCCGGCAGAAGACAGCAGGTGCAAAGGCCCTGGGGCAGGTCTGGGCCCAGCCATGTTGCAGGAGCAGGGAGCAGCCCAGTGTTATGGAGCGGAGTGAGTGAGGGGATGGCAGCACGTGAGGGCAGAGGGAACCGGGGAGGTGGTACAAGGCCTTGTGGGCAGGCCACGGTGGTCCCCGTTTGGTGGCACAAGACGGAGGGGCAGAGAGAGAGGGACAAGGCCCAGGTGGGGTGACAGAGACTCAATTATAGAGGGGAACAGAGACCCAGATTAGGCTCCTCTTTTTTTTTCTTTTTCACTTTTATTGTGGTGAAAACATACTGCTTGGGTTACCTAGTGCCACTCTAACAGAAGGTACCACCAATGGGATGGCTTGAACAAATAGGAGTTTATTCTTTCACAGTTTGGAGGCTTTAAGTCCAGGTTCAAAGTGCCAGGCTCTAGGGGCTGGGGGAAAGCCCCTCAACCTTGGGGTCCAGCTCTGCCTCCTACTCCCGGCCCACTGGAGCTAGAGGCGTTTCTTCACTCAGATGGCTGCTGGCTGCTGAGGCTGAGAAGCCCCAAGGTTGACAGGTAAAAAGGCACAGTCCTGATGTTACCAAGCCACACAGCAGGCCATTAATTCAAGTCCACTGAAAGTCCCAAGGTCGGCAGAGCATGGCAGGCTGCTGAACAATGACACGGCTACATGCAGATTTCAAGGTGCCATAAGCTAGAGATCATTCTCCAAGGGTTCTCCTTATACACAGGAAGCAGGCCACATGCCAAAGGCAGCTACTCAGCTGCTTGTGGAAGATTCCACCATGGAGTTGATTGCCAATCTCCTCATGGGGAATAACTACCACCAGCTGCTCAGCCACTCAACCAGGCCCAGCCAAGTTGACACACAGACTTAACCACCAGGCATTCACAACAAGACAGCCACCAACATAATAACTTCATTGACAACTGAGGGGCATTGATGACCTTTTTCATTTTGTGCCACCATTTTTGCTATCCTTTTCCAAAATACTCCACCACCGTTAGCATAAACTCAGTGCCCTGAAAACAAAACAGATTAAGCTCCCCTTGGCTGCGAACATTTCTCAGACCTCCCTTGTTTGTGATGACCGTGACAGCTCGGAGGAGCACGATCTGTCTGTGTCGTGGTGATGAGACTGCATCATGGTTTTTGGCCACCTCTCGGCTGCCAGCATCATCCATGGTGGACAGGTTTCAGTGCAGTTTCCAGACAGACTGAGAAGTTAGAGCTAATGATCTGGTTCTGAAAAAAACTCATGAAAAGGAGTGACATTTATGAATAGCCCTGAAACATTGCCAAATACAGTACCAGGAGGTGAGCCCCTCAGGTCAGAAGGCACTCAAAATACGACCAGGAAAAGAGCTGCCTCCTCCGAGGACAGTCAACCTTAATGACGTGGGTGAAGTGGGGCTTCCGGGAACTCCATGTGCTGATGGGACATGACTCATAATGGGAAGAAACAGCTGCAAACATCCATTAATATCAAAACATGGAAGGTGCAAAGTATGAATGTAGGAAAATCGGAAGTTGTGAAAAATGGAACGGAATGCCTAAAGATCGACATCCCAGGCGTTCGGAGCAGAAATGGAGTGGGTTTGGCCATTTTGAATCAAACGTATGGTCTACCATGTTGGAAATGACAATCTGAGGAGAAATGACATCCTACTTACCATCCAAAAGAACATTTCAAGATCCATCCTGAAGTACAGTGTTGTCAGTGATAGGATCATAGTCATATGCCTACAAGGAAGACCAGTTAATACGACTACTATTCCAATTTACACACCAAGCACTAAAACCAAAGATGGAGATATGGAAGATGTCTACCAAGTACTGCTTGTTTGATCAAACATGCAATCAAGAGGCATTGATAATTACTGGTGATTGGAATGTAAACGTTGGAAGCAAAGAAGAATCACTACTTGAAAAATATGGCCTTTGTGATGGAGATAATGCCAGAGATTGTGTGATAGGGTGTTAGACTGGCTTCTCTGTTGTATGTGCCAGTTGAGTCAGACCCAACCCATAGCGACCCCTCCTTGGGTTTCCAAGGCAGTATCACTACGGAAGTAGATTGCCCAACCTTCCTTCCGAGGAGTGGCTGGTGGGTGTGAACCGCCAGTCTTCTGGTTAGCAGTCAAGTGCCTTAGGCACTATGCTACCAGAGGTCCCAGACTGGGTTCTCCAGAGAAACAAAACCAGTAAAGCTTATATATATATATATAGAGAGAGAGAGAGAGAAAAAAAAATTATCTTAGGAAGATGGCTCACATGCTTATAGAAGCTGGAAAGTCCCAAGTTCTTGGATCAAACGTCAAGCTGGAGGCTTCTCCTGACTCACGTAGCTGCAGGGGCTGAGGAGCTCAAGGTTGGCAGGCAGTACACCGACTGTTGACTCCAACGAATGACGAATCCAAGATCTCCAGGCCGAATGGTGGATTGTTTGCTCACGGACAGTTGTAGGCAGCACTACGGGATCTCAATCCACAGAAGAGTGTCTCTTTTCCCAGGATGTCCATAAATACACTGGAAGCAGGCCACACCCCTAGGGAAACTCCCTTTTCAACTGATTGGCTGCTCAAAACATAATCATCTGATCCCATCATGGGAATAACCGCATCACAACAGCTTAAATCACACAGAATTGTGGTCCAGCCAAGTTGACACACAGCTCCAACCATCACAGATAGGGTTTTGCAAGGCCGATAAGTTCCTGCAGCACATTGAATAACTGAATGTGGTCTTTCTAGCCATAGTCCTCCATTATGGGATGTATGGTCAGTCCTGGTCTCTATGCCTGCTCAGGGGGGGATGTATCCTAAGTCCCACCTCGCTGGAGGCTGTGACTCAGGTCACCACCTTAGTTTCCTTGAGGCTGTTTATGTGAACGTTCACTCTCTCCTGCTCTGGATCCCACCTTCGGTTTATCACCATCTCACCCTTGGACTTGACACAGCAGCCAGTTGTCTGACCTGCTGATCTGGGTTTTCTAGCCCCTGCAACCATGTGAGTGAGGACAATCCTCCAGACCTAGCCATGGACTTGGCACTTGCCAGCCTCCTGGCTCCCACCCCATCACGTGAGCTGTTTCCTTGGCAGTGTGTGAGTTCTGTGAGAATTTACAGTGACATACAGAACCCTGAGATGGGAGGAGGGGCTCTGGTCGCATAGTGCCTAAAGCACTTGACTGCTAACCAGAAGGTTGGCAGTTCAAACCCACCAGCCACTCCTCGGAAGGAAGGTTGGGCAATCTACTTCCGGAGTGATACTGCCTCGGAAACCCAAGGAGGGGTCGCTATGAGTCAAGTCAAGTCAATGGCAGTGACTTTGGTTTGGGCTTTGCTCCCATAAAGACTGACAGCCTTGGAGACCCTGTGGTGCAGTTCCACTCTGTCCTCTAGGGGCGCTGTGGGTCAGAAT